TGAAAACTAAAAAAATTAATTTAGTGTGGTGGTGCACACCTGTAATCCTACTGACTTGGGAGGCTGAAGCAGAAGAATCATGAGCTTAAGGCCAGCCTCCATAATTTAGTGAGAGTCTGTCTCAAATTAAAAAAATCAAAAGGACTGGGGACATAGCACCCTTGGGTTCAATCCTCAGTACCAAAACAAAACAAAATTATGGCTAGGAATGTAGCTCCGTATAGAATTCATAATTCCATTTATAATAGTAGCAAAATCATCAAATACTTAGGGATAAATTTAATAAAGAGTGCATAAGATCTCTACAATCAAAATTATAACACTACTGAAAGAAATTAAAGGTCTAAGCAATTGCTGAAATATGCCATATTCATAGCTTAGAAGTCTCAATATTATTAAGATATCAATTCTACACTTGATCCACAGAGTAGAGTCAACTCCAAACAAAATCCCAGTAGGCTTTTTGTAAAAAGTACAATCTGATTATAAAATTCATATTGAAATGCAAATGACCAAAACAAGCCAAGGCAATAAAAAAGAAAAGTTGTAGAACTTGTATCAACTGATTTGAAGACTTAGTATAAAACCTATAATAATAAAAATGTATGTGTTTGTCTAAAGGACCACATGTTAGCTATATTTCTTAATTTCCTATATTCTTGATGAGCTGGCATCTGGGGCTTAAGGTGATCCAGAAGAAACTGCCCCTTCCAGAGCTGGCTAATTCCTCGAGAAAGAAAAAGACTCAAATCATGAATATACCCTCTCATACTTACAAATGCAAATCAACCAATCCATAGTCCATGCCCATGACTACCTCCTTCACTGGGCTCTCACAGGGTGAGTGATATGCTATATCCCTTACCTAATCACCCCAGAGACAGGTACCAGGCAAGTAGGAACAATCCCTATACCCTGGAGCCCACTGAAATTATTCAAACTAGTAAATTATAACCCTGCCTAGCCTGATCACGATGACTGGTCTATTTCTTTCCACAAAAATAAATAAATAAATAAAAATAAAATAAAAGCTCTGGTCCCTGCTTTCCCCTTACTTTTTCTACCTGGTAAGTGGATGCTGATCCATAATGGGCAGGCGGGGGCGGGGCATGGGAAGAATGGAGGAACTTTGGATTGGGCAATGGGGAGGGAGGAGAGGAAAGGGAACATGGGAGCAGGAGAGATGGTGGAATGAGATGGACATCACTACCCTAGGTACATGAACATTTCCACAAATGTTGCGACTCTATATCATGTACAGCCATAGAAATGAAAAGTTGTGCTCCATTTGTGTATAATGAATAGGAATGCAATCTGCTGTCATGTATAACTAATCAGAACAAATAAAAAAATTAATTAATTAATTACCAGCAAGGTGCAGCGGTGCACACTTGTAATCCTGGCAGCTTGGGAAGCTGAGGCAGGAGGATCTCAAGTTCAAAGCCAGCCTCAGCAACAGTGAGGTACTAAGCAACTCAGTGAGACCCTGTCTCTAAATAAAATACAAAATAGGGCTGGGGATGTGGCTCAGAGGTCGAGTCCCCCTGAGTTGAATTCCTGATACCAAAAAAGAAAGTCAGCCTCAGAAATTTAGCAAGGTACTAATCAACTCAGTGAGACCATGTCTCCAAATAAAATACAAAAAAAGGGCTGGGGATGTGGCTCAGAGGTTAAGGTTAAGTGCTCCTGAGTTCAATCCCTGGTACAACAAACAAAACAAAACAAAAAAAGAATTTCAATGGGAAAAAGAAAAACTCTTCAAAAAAAGGTTCTGTAACAACCAGAAAACATTTATTTTAAAAATGAACCTCAGGGGACTGAGGCTATATGTAGCTCAGTGGTAAAGCACTTGCCTTGCATGTGTGAGGCACTGGGTTCAATCCTCAGCACCACATATAAATAAATAAAGATACTGTGTGTTCATCTACAACTAAATAAATATTTTTTTTTAAAAAATGAACCTCAGTTGGGTGCAATGGTGCATGCTCGTAATCCCAGCAACTTGGGAGGCTGAGGCAGGAGGATTTCAAGTTCAAGACCAGCTTCAGCAAATTAGCAAGACCCTAAGAAACTTGGACAGACCCTGTCTCAAAATAAAAAATAAAAAGGGATGGGAATGTGGCTCATTGGTTAAGCACCTCTGTGTTCAATCTCCAGTATTAAAAAAATTAAAACTAAAAATTAAAATGAACTTCAATCCTTACCTCCCACTCATGTGCGCACCACACACACACACACACACACACACACACACACACACACACACACACACACACACACACAAAGGACCCTAGACCTAAACTGAAAAAGCTTATAAAGCTATAGAAGAAAATATCAGAAAATTTTTGTGACCTAGTAGTAGGCAAAAAATTCTTAAACAGATCACAAAACGTACAAACAATAAAACAGATGATAAACCAGACTCCATCAAAATTAAAATATTTGTACTTTGTTAGACACCACTAAAAATAAAATTAGGGCTGGGGATATAGCTCAGTTGGTAAAATGTTTGTTTGCCTCCCATGTACAAGGCCCTGAGTTCAATCCCCAGCACCACACACAAAAAATAAAATAAAAATAAAATCACAAGCCACAGACTGGAACAAAATATTAGCAATACATATATATGGTAAAGGTATTAAATTGAACAAATACATTGACTCAATAATAAGAAGACAAATAACCCAATAAAAATGGGGAAGATATGAACAGACACTTCACAAAAATTGTACAAATGTCAATACACACATGAAAAGATGCTTAGCATCATTACTCTTATCAGAGGAAGGCAACTTTAAAACATAATGAAATAGCATGCATATACATTTCAGTAGCAAAAATTAAAGAGACTGATGATATCAACTGTTGACAAAGATGTATAGCAACAACAATTCTTATGTATTGCTATTGTGAATATAAAATGATATAACCAATTTGCAAGACGCTTGGCAATTTCTTATAAAAGTAAGCATACACATATTATTTGATCCTGAAATTCCAATCTTAATTATTTACCCAAAGGAAATATAAACATATTCACATTCACACAAGGCACATCAGAATGTTCACTGCAGCTTCATTCCTAGTGACCAAATTTTAACCAACCTCCTATCCATCAACAGGTGTACAGATTAACAAATTACAAAACAGGTTGAGCATTCCTTATGCAAAATGCTTAAGGCCAGAAGTTTTCCAGATTTGGGGGCTTTTCAGATTTTGGAATATTTGCAAAGACTTTACCAACTGAGCATCCTTAATTCAAAAATCTGAAATCTTGGGGCTGGGTTTGTGGCTAGAAGGTAAAGCACTGGGTTCGATCCTCAGGACCACATAAAAATAAACAAATAAAATAAGGGTATTGTGATCATCTACAACTAAATTTTTTTAAAAATCTGAAGTGCTTCAAAATCTGAAACTTCTCAAGTGTTCTATCAATGCTCACAAAGTTTCAGATTTGGGAGAATTTTGGATTTTTTAATTTCTGAATTAGGGATGCTCAACTTATAAATTCATATCATGGTGTACTACTCAGAATGAAACAGGAACAGAATTACAAAATGACTATACTGAGTCATGAAGCCAAACTCAAAAGAGTATATACCTTATGATATATTTATATGAAACATTAATAAAGACAAATCTAATCTACAGTGATAAAAATCATGTCAGCCATGTATGGTGGCGCTTGCCTGTAATTCCAGTGGTTTAGAAACCTGAAGCAGGAGGACCACAGTTTTGAAGCCAGCTTCAGCAACTTATGGAGGCTGTAAACTACCTAGTGAAACCCTGTCTCAAAATAAAAAATAAAAAAGCCTGGGGATGTAGATCAGTGGTAAAGCACCCCTGGATTCAGTCCCTTGTACCAAAAAAACAAACATGTCAATGTTTGCCTGGGGCTAAAGTAATAGTGTTTACTCCAGGGGGCATTAGGAAGCATTTTGTGTGATGGAAATGTTATGTCATCATGCTAGTGTCTACCTTTAACAAAACCATCAAACTGCACACTTAAAATGGATACATTTTATTCTATTTAAATTATGCCTTAATAAAATTGATTTTTATTAATATTTTAGTTGTAGTTGGACACAATACCTTTATTAATTTATTTTTATGTGGTGCCGAGGATCGAACCCAGGGCCTTGTACATGCTAGGCAAGTGCTCTACCACTGAACCACAACCCCAGCCCCTAATAAAGTTGATTTTAAAAGAAAAAATGCTAAGTGAAAGTGAAGCAATGTCATAAGATAAGAGAGACATGGGGCTATGAAAAGGTAGAGAGGAGTGAGGAATTTGAAGCTGATACTTACAAAGAAAATAGAAAGTAAGGTTGGTTGTAAATGTTTTTTTTTTTAATATCTTGGAGAAGATGAATACGAACGGAAGAAGAAAGCTAAAGGATACTAGGAAGAATAAGAGTGAGAAAATAGCTGATTTTCAAAGAATGCAATTCCTTAAAACCTGAATGAATATTATAAGAATCTAACTCTCTGGGAGTCTGATTGAAGTGATGTAGTGTTAAAATGTGATAGGAGGAGCCCAGCACTCAGGAGGCTGAGGCAGGAGGATTGCAAATTCAAAGCCAGACTCTGCAACTTAGCAAGGCACTAAGCAATTCAGCAAGACCTTGTTTCTATATAAAATACAAATAAAGGGCTGGGGATGTGGATCAGTGGTTAAGTGCCCCTGGGTTTAATCCCCAGTACAAAAAAAAAATGTGATAGGAAAGCAAGATCCCTAGTAAGAAAGCCTGGCATGATCCAGACTATAGAAATGAGGGGCAATTCTCCTGGAGGAAAGTCAAGCAAAGAAGACAGTTTATAACAGGAAGGAAAAGAAAGGGAAAGAATAATTTGGTACCTGAGAGGCTAAAACTTTCTATCCTTGAGCAATTCCTAAGGTTTAAAACCTTTAATAAGGGTAGCATTTTAAAAGCTCAGGCCTCTCTTAGGAAAGAAAATTATTTCCATGTGTGTCTTCTACCTGGTTTACACTCACTCACCTGAATAACTCTGATGTGGGGTTTCCCCTTCCAACATCCATGGCTCCTCTCCTTGCTCCAACTTGAATATGACCTCTGGCTTGGGAACTTCAAACCCTGTTAACAGAAAATGTTAAAGAATTAGGCCCAGGCCTCATCCAGAGCCCAGACCAGAACCCAACAAGTGCTTTGCCTGGAGCCCAGAACCATTGCAAGCCACCTGCATGGACAGGAACACTCAAGCTGCAGTTCCCTATCCACCAACATTTGACTCCACCCAAACCACCTCCATCTTGAGACATTGCAGCCACCACCATGCCCCTTCCCACATGGTAATCTCCACTGTGCGACAACAGACAGGGCCAGGAGGCAGCTGCCTATGGTAGCACCACACACCACAGTGTGCCATCACGGAACAGGCTGCCCAATGCCATCGCACTGCCCATCCTTCCAGCACCATCTCTGAAAGCAGTTGTCTCCATCTTGGGACACCTCCACTGTCATCTTGGGTTACCTCTGCTGCCACCTCTGCCACCATTAGTTAGGGCAGATTCCATCTTAGAACACTGACTGAGGCCTGGAAGCCCAACAGCAAGTTACTTATAGGCTTGACAGTATTGCCACCACCAACTAGGGACGTGGCCACTTTCATCTAGGGACAACAACCAGGACCTAGAAGACCATCACCAAGGTCCCTGTGGGCCCAGTTGCACCAGAGGTGTCCCTACTAGATGTGCTAACAGTCACCATCCTGTTGCAAAGGCAATAGGGAGCCTTGCATAAGGTTGCCTTTCTATATATCTTTTTTTCTCTTTTGCTAACAGCAAACTTCTGTTGATTCCCCTTTTACTTGTCCTATAATCTAATACCTCTATATTCTCACATCCTACCTCATAAAAATCATATCCCACCTCCATTCTCTCTCTGTCCACCACTAGAAAATGTAAACACTTATGCAAACTTACTGTCTATATGTATTTGTTATTTCTGTTTATAGTAGCAAAACTGTAAATGTCTAAATACACACTAATTGATTTATGACTGCATATTAGTTGCATTGGGTTCAAAATGTACATAATTAAAATGATCTGAGAATTAAAGAATGACCTAAGTGAGCAAATACAGGCACATATTGCTCACTCCAACAAAGAGATATGAGAGCAAACACAGGCAGCAAAAGATTACTTCAAGAAAGAGATGGAGATTGTGAAAAACAAACAAACAAACAAACAGAAATCCTTGAAATAAAGGAAACAATAAAACAAATAAAAAAAAACTCATTAGAAAGCATCACCAAAAGATTATACCACATGGAAGACAGAACCTCAGACAATGAAGACAAAATATACAATTTGGAAAACACAGTTGACCACACAGTGAAGATGGTAAGAAACCATGAACAGAACATCCAAGAATTATGAGATACCATCAAAAGACCAAATCTAAGATTTATTGGGATAGAGGAAAGGCACAGAGTTTCAAACCAAAGGGATGCACAATTTCTTCAATGAAATAATATTAGAAAATTTCCCAAACATGAAGAATGAATTGGAAAATCAAATACAAGAGGCTAACAGAACACCAAATGTACAAAATAACAACAGATCTACACCAAGGCACATTATAATTAAAATTACTAGCATACAGAATAAGGATAGAATTTTAAAGGTCATAAGAGAGAAGAATTAGATTACATATAGGGAGAAACCAATTCTGATCTCAGCAGATTTTTCAGCCCAGATCCTCAAGGCCAAGAGATGTTAGAACAACATATGCCAGGCTCTGAAAGAAAATGGATGCCAACCAAGAATCTTATCTCCAGCAAAATTACGCTTCAGATTTGATAACAAAATAAAAACCTTTCATGATAAACAAACATTAAAAGGATTTACAGCAAAAAAGTCTGCACTACATTCTTGGCAAAATATTCCATGAAGAGGAAATGGAAAATAACAATGAAAATCTGCAAAGGGAGGCACTACACTAAGGGAAAGGCCAATCAAAGAGAAACCAAGTCATGTTAAAAACCAAAAATAAACCAAAATGACCAAGAATACAAAACATATTTCAATAATAAACCTGAATGTGAATGGCCTAAACTCATCAATTACAAGACACAGATTGGATTAAAAAAAAGACCCAACAATGTGCTACCCTCAAGAGACTCACAGGAAAAGACACCCAAAACTGAAAGTGAAAGGATGGGAAAAAGTATATTACTCACATGGACCATGTAAACAAGCAGGGGTTTCCATCCTCATATCAGATAAAGTGGACTTCAAACCAAAGTTAGTGAAAAGGAATAAAGAAGGACATTTCAGGGCTGGGGTTGTGGCTCAGTGGTAGAGGGCTTGCCTTGCATGGGTGAAGCACTGGGTTTGAGCCTCAGCACCACATAAAAATAAATGAATAAAATAAAGGTATCATGTCCATCTACAACTAAAAATATATTTTTTTAAAAAGGAGGACATTCCATACTACTCAAGGGAATCATACATCAACAATACATAATAAGTGTAAAGATCTATGCCCCAAACAATGGGGCATCTACGTATATCAAACAAACCCTTCTCAACTTCAAGAGTCAAATAGACCGCAACACAATAATACTGGGTGACTTTAACACAATTCTCTCACCACTAAATAGATCTTCCAAACAAAAACTAAACAAAGAAACTATAGAACTCAGTAATACAATACATATAGAATATTCCATCCATCAATATTTACACTTCACTGACTATGTATACTCTTGATGTACCAGATGCATTTTATTACTGTTTTAGTCCAGACCCTGGCAATGCCAATGGAAAAGATGCCATTATGGAAGCAATGGCTAAGCAAATAGTTACAGTATGTGCCACTTTGGATGAAAATCCTGGAGTAAGATATAAAAGTAAGCCTCTAGATAATGCCAGTAAACTTGCAGTTGGTTGAAAAAAAAAACTTGAAGACTACTACAAGACTGATGAAAAGAGATTAATAAAGGGTAAAACTCATTCCAAGCTCTTAATAATCAATTGTGACTTTGATCCTGTGTCCACTGTCCTGTATGAACTGACCTTTCAGGCAATGGCATATGATCTACTCCAATTGAGAATGATACATACAAATACAAAACAGATGGAAAAGAAAAGGAGGCAATCATTGAAGAAGATGATGACCTCTGGGTGAGAATTCGACATCGGCATATTGCAGTTGTAGTAGAAGAAATTCCAAAGCTTATGAAGGAAGTTTCATCAATGAAGAAAGCAACAGAAGGAAAGACATCACTTAGTCCTCTTACCCAGCTGATGAAAAAGATGCCCCATTTCTGTAAACAGATTACTAAGAAAATTGTCTATCCTAATTTAGCAGAAGATTGCATGAATAAGTTCAAGCTTAATATAGAAAAGCTCTGTAAAACTGAACAGGACCTGGCACTTGGAACTTATGCAGAAGGACAGAAGGTGAAAGATGCTATGAGAGTACTTCTTCCAGTTCTACTCAATAAAAATCATGATAAATGTGATAAAATAAGAGCAATCCTACTTTATATCTTCAGTACTAATGGAACTACAGAAGAATATTTGGACAGGTTGGTCCGTAATGAAAAGATAGAAAATGAGAGTGACACGATTCATAACTGAAGTTATCTTGGTGTTCCCATTGTTCCCCAATCTCAACAAGGCAAAACCATTAAGAAAGGATTGGTCTGCAGAAGAAACTTTTCAACTTTCTTGATGGACACCTTTTATCAAAGATATTATGGAAGATGCCATTGATAATAGATTAGATTCAAAGGAATGGCCATATTGTTCTCAGTGTCCAGCAGTGTGGAATGGCTCTGGAGCTGTAAGTACTTGCCAGAAACCTAGAACTAATTATTTAGAATTGGACCAAAAAAATGGATCAAAGCTGATTATTTTTGTAACTGGAGGAATTACATATTCTGAAATTCACTGTGCTTATGAAGTTTCTCAGTTACATAAATCCTGTGAAGTTATTATTGGTTCTACACATATTTTAACACCCAAAAAGCTGTTGGATGATATAAAGATGCTGAATAAACCCAAGGATAAAGTCTCCTTTACTAAAGAAGAGTAGTTTAAGAGGGAGTGGTTTAGAGGTTCTTTAATTAATATGTTCAATTAAAAATAGAAAAAGAAAATGTTACTATCATGTAATTTAAACAATGTAAATATTTTATGGAACAATGACTTTCAAATACATTTCTTTTTTTATATTTATTTTTTAGTTCTCGGCAGACACAATATCTTTATTTTATTCGTATGTGGTGCTGAGGATCGAACCCAGCGCCCCACGCATGCCAGGCGAGCGTGCTACCGCTTGAGCCACATCCCCAGCCCCTCAAATATATTTCTTAAAGGACTGTTTATGATTATGTATTGTTGGATTTGCCATCTTTAATAATTTAAATATTGTTGCTGCTTTATAGGTGATAAGATATTAAAATGCTTTCTAAACTTTTGTTTTAACCTCTGGAACAGAATTTCTTAAAGTTATGGGTAATTTTTCATAGCCTCTTGTGTATATATACTAATAATGTACTAAATACTTATCTATCTTATGCTGAAGAATAGTTTTTTGGGGGAAAATGATTTTTAAAAGAAGATATAAAAGTAAAAACTGTAAATGTGTATGTATGATAGAATTATTTCCTATTAATGTAGTTTTTCTTTCAACTGAAATTCACAGTTTTATGTGTAAAATAATTCAGTCACTGAGTAATTTCACAGTGTACTATCTTGCTAGATCCTTTTAAAAAACACAATTTTATGTAATTTTGAAATGATGTATGTTTAAACTAGAAAACCAAAAATAATCATGAATATTCTAAGAGAAAATAAAATATATATTACAAAAAAAGAAGTGAGCAATTTGCTCTGCCACACACTCATGTTATGATATGCTGTCCTCAGAGGAGGTCCAAAGCAACAGGACCACTCAAACTTAGACTGGAACCTACAGAACCATGAGCCAAAAGAAACCTTTTCTTTTTATACATTTATTGCCTTGTGTATTCAGTTTTAGTTATGGATAGCTGACTAATACATCCCCTAAGGTACTTGCCTTTCCAAACATTGCTGTTTCTCCTAAGGATTGATGCCCATCACTCTTCTTAACTTCTAGGCATATAACTAGACTCAAGTTCAAGCAAGCCTCAAAAGGTGAAACACAAAGTATAGTCCATGAGGATGCATGTACAACAGAAGAACTGCATGACTTCTCTAATTTATACAGACAAAAATATGGAGAATATGTGTAGAAATGGATATCAAGAATGGGATAATGGTGGAAGGAACACAATACTAGATCACATTTAGTTGTTTGATATGGACCCACTAAACAGAGATTCTGAATTTGATGTTGCTGCTTGAGGGGTCAGAAAGTCTCTAATAGGAAAAGATTAACATTAAACAGAGACATGAGGTGGGAGGGAAAGGGAGAAAAAAGGGAAATTGCATGGAAATGGAGGGAGAGCCTCATTGTTATACAAAATTACATATAAGAGGTTGTGAGGGGAATGGGATAATAAACAAGGAGGGAAATGAATTACAGTAGATGGGGTAGAGAGAGAGAAGATGGGAGGGGAGGGGAGGGGGGATAGTAGAGGATAGGAAAGGTAGCAGAATACAACAGTCACTAATATGGCATTATGTAAAAATGTGAATGTGTAACCGATGTGATTCTGCAATCTGTATTTGGGGTAAAAATGGGAGTTCATAACCCACTTGATTCTAATGTATGAAATATGATATGTCAAGAGCTTTGTAATGTTGTGAACAACCAATAAAAAAAAAAGTCTCTAATAGTCTGGTTGGTTGGCTGATTCATGGACCAAAAGCTGGCCTACACTAAATGAAGCTGAAATGCCAGAAATGCCTTGGTAGACTGGAGAAAAAAGTATCTAAAACCATTGGGAATTTGGAATGCTAGTGTGGATTTATCATGTAACATCTGCACATTCATTCCAGGAGTGTCCAGAGGACATACTTGTTATCACAAGTGTGAGAAACAAATCTGTAGGAGCCCCAGCATCTTTTAAGAGTTCTGTGATTGCTCATTTGTATTTCAGAAATTAAAGTTGGAACTGTTTTCAATGAAAAGGGAAACATAAATGCAATGGGAGTAATTGGATCCTGGGGTAGCAGAGGCCAAGTGGAGGTACTCTAATTGCCATAGGCAAGATGGCTATAATTACCACAATGGACAGAAGAGTCAAAGCAATACTCAGAATAGTCTGATTTATAGAGATCTATAGCATTACCTAATTGACCTTGGCATCCCCATAAAAGAATCAGATGAGCAGTCTATTAAACCTTAGTTGGTCTGTACAAACAGAAGAGTTTTAGGTCAAGGTCAGTAGAGAAGGAAGGGAACAGAGGGAAGGACAAGATGAGGGAAAGGGAAGTACTAGGGACTCAATTAGAGCAAATTATTTTCCATGCTTTTATAATTTTGTCAAAATGAATCATAATGTTATATATAACAAAAAAAGCTAATAAAAATAAGTGTTCTAGGACAAGTAAACAAAAATCTAATCTGAAGCATAAAAAGATAATAAATAAATAAATAAATAAAGTAGGTCATGGCACCTCGCTCAATTCCCAGGCTTGAGCCTATTTACAGGCCCAGGGTCGCTTGAATGAAAGGGATAACAAGTCTCTTTGAGGAAGGACCCCGATAAAATACTAAAATTTTATAACTATTAATCTTTCTCAGTCTTCCCAAAGAGACTGAGGTCTTTTATCAGTGTAACTGTACATTGAGGAAAAGGAAATATTTTTGAGAATTTTGGACTCTTGCTCCAAACTGGAGAGGAGACCTGGAGACACAAAACATCACTGTGATCTATCAGTCAGGGTAGATGTTTAATAGAAAGTTATTAATGGAGTTTTAGATCAGATCCATCTCACAGTGGATCTGGTGGGTCTCTGACACCATCCTGTGGTTATTTCCCTAGTTAAAGAATGATAATTGGAATACACATAACTCAGCAACTGTCAGAATGACTATATTGGTTCCCTGACCTGTGGAGTGAAGAATATAATGGTGGGAAAGGCCAAGTGGAAGCCATTAGAACTTCCTTTAACTAAGAAAATAGAAAAATAAAAGCAATATCCCATTTCTGGAAAAACAGCAGAGATTACTACTAACATCAGGGACTTGAAATATATAGGGGTAACAATTTCCATCATTATCACCATCAACTTAGCTATCTGGCCTGTGCAAAAAACAAATAACTATTAGAGAAAGACAGCAGAGTATCATAAACTAAGCAAGACAGTGACTCTAATTGTAGCTGTTCTTCCAGATGGGGTTTCATCGATTGAGCAAATTAACACATTTCCTGTGTTAATCTAGAATGTAGCTATTGTTCTTGCAAATGTGATACCTATCAGAAAAGACAACTAGAAGTAGTTTGCTTTCAGCTGTCAAGGGGCAACAATATACCTTTACTGTTCTATCTCAGAGGTTTAAAACTGTCTATCCATATGCCACAATTTACTTCATATGAATCTTATTTACCTTTTCCTTCCACAAAACAACACACAAAAATTCTCAGAGGAAAAACAATGCAGCATAGCGGTCCATTGCACTGATGACATTAAGCTCACTGAACCTAGTAAACAAGAAATAGCAACTACTCAAGATTTATGGGTAAGACATTTTCATATCAGAATATGGAAAAGAAATTGCATAGAAATTTAAGGGCAGTAAAGTACACATGACATAAATTTAGGTCCTTCTGCCTCAAGAAATTTCTAGTGGTCCAGTAGTATGGATGTCAAGACATCACTTCTAAGGTAAAGAATAAGTTGTTGCATCTATTCCCTGCTATAAGCAAAAGAGAGGTACAACACTACTGAGCATCTTTGGATTTTGCAGGCAACAATTCCTCATTTTGGTGTGCAATTCTGACCCACTGGATCACCATTTACCAAATGATCCAAAACCTGCTAGTTTGGGGCCTCAGCAAAAGAAAAGGTTCTGCAACAGGTCTAGTCTGCAGTATAAGTTGCTCTTCCACTTGGGCCATATGATCTAGCAGATCTGATGGTGCTACAGGTGGCAGTGGCAGATTCAGGCATTGTTTGGAACCTCTAGTAGGCCCCTATAGGTGAATCACCCTGCAGATCCTTAAGATTTTGGAGGAAAGCCTACCATCCTCTGTGGATGACTATCCTTTTGAAAAACATCTTATGGTTTGCTATTGGACCTGAATTTACTCACCCAATGAATTTAAGCATATTAGCTAACAGAGGAGAGGAGAAATTTAGCAAGGATTCTTTAGTAATTGCAAATGAACACAGAAAAACCCAGTGTTGAAACCCTGCCCCTCAGTGGGGTATTAGAAATGTGGCATACAGAATAATCGCTCTCCAATGCTGCCTTTTAGTGACCCAAGTTCTTCTGATTGAGGCCCAGCCTGTAGATGTTGGGAGGACAGTAGCAGCCCCTGATGTACTGGACTTAGATATTACCAGAATCATGCTCCTAGAGAATGTAGCTCTAAGTGGGTATAAACTCCATGTAAGGCTGAATACTAGCACAAAAGCAATATTCAACAGTATCATAAGGAAAAACTTTGAAAAGAAATTTTAAGAAAATAGTTCCAGAGCACATGACTATTAAGAGACATGATGTCAATCCTACATAGCAACCCCATACCCTTAGGTGGTGGCCATGCCTCTCTCAGCCTTGGAGACAAGGAGATGGCCCTGCCCTCTGAAACTGAGGAGATAATGGATTCCCACACCTCACCATCTCCATAGCCTATGCCCTCAGGTCTGTAGAAGTACCTGCAGCCCCACTGGCCTCTGAACCATTCTTAGGTCATTCTTCTCTTTTCTTGAAGAGTAACACATGTTCATACCCAAATAGCTTTACCATCCCCTTTTCTGCATATGGAATCAAATTATTGATAGATCTTTATTTTATTTATTTCTTTATATGTGGTGCTAAGGATTGAACCCAGTGCCTCACACATGTCAGGCAAGTACACTACTGCTGAGCCACAGCCACAGCCCCTGTAAAGACTATTTCTAAATAAGGTCACAATCTGAAGTATTGAGGATTAAAACTTCAGTATATGTTATTTGGAGGACCATTTCAACCCTGGGTTTCTCATAGTTACATAGGATAGTGATGCTTACCCACTGAGAGCAGGTGGCTATAGTTCTCCAACATTACATCTTGGTACAGGCACCTTTGAGTAGAGTCCAATTGCTGCCACTCCTCTCTACTGAAGTCCACAGTCACATCCTCAAATGATACTGGTATCTGTAACAACACAATCCTGTTCAAGGCAACCCAATCAGCACTAGGGGATAGGGAGATGAAAAACAGGACATGGTTTTTAATGATTTTTTCATCATGATATACCATGTAGTATGCAAAATACATTCATTTCATTATAAGAGTCCCCAGTCTTAATCCATTCCAGCATCAATTCTACACTATTACCCAGCATGCTGTTGGCATTGATGTGTACAGACAAGTTAAGTGCAAGATTCTTGCCAAGAGAATAAGCATATTGAACATATTAGGCACTCTAAAAGCTAAGACAGCTTCCTGAAACGTATGAAGGAAAATTACCTGAAAAAGAAGGAACCCCAAAACAAAGGTAACTACATTCAGCTGAAATGCCAGCCTGCTCCACCCAGAGAAGGATGTTTTGTGAGAACAAATGGAAAGGAGCCTGAGCTGCTGGAATCTATTCCCTACGAATTAATGACATAATAAATGTTAAAAAAAATAAATAAATAAAGGCCTGTGGGCTATAAAAATGATTTTCTTAAAAAAATCACTTTGGGCCCCAGGGAATTATGACATTGGTTTCATTCAAGATACAAAATCAGTAAAAGTAGCTTATAACTTATCATGTGTAAAATAATATCCTTTGTTGAAAGTTCAATTAGAAGTGATAAAACTAATGATAAAATAATTAGAAAAACCAAGAATAATTGGAAAATGGCATTCAGCCTGTAATACTCCTATATTTCTAGTAAGGCAAAGTATATTTGATGTAGTTGAACAACTATTATGTAAATTTGCACAAGATCTTAAAGAAGTCAATGAATTTCTTGTTCCATGAACCCCTGTAGTTCCTAATTCTTGAACTATTCTGGTTTCAGTACCATAGTCTGCTAAGTTTTTCTCTATACTTTGTGTTCCACTATTTTTTTCTGTTCCTCTAGCTAACACATAAACTCTTGCTTGATTTTACTTAGGATAGAGTTCAGTATTTATGGCAGAAGATCTCTCAAGTGTTTTAGGTCTCTCTTATTTTTCTATGTATATGTCTAATATACAGAAAATCTTAGGGAAATGTATCCTACTGGAAGGATCTATAATTACTCAATCCGTAAATTATTTGCTGGTAGCCTCCCAAACTAAAGAGCAAGTAAAACTGATTCTTTGGCTTTGTTTTGGTTCCTTGCTTCACTGGGCCTCATTAGAAAAGCTCTAATATTGCCAAATAGAAGTAAAATATTTAAGGAATCTGGTGTCACATGAAGGCTTCAAATTTGAAGATAAAAGAGATGCTACAATAAAATAATTTAGATAATTTGGGGGATTTGTGAGGTACCAAAGAACAATGAATTCCAGTTTTATTCTCTGACACAAAAGCATGGTAATACTTTAGATGCTCTGATTAATGTGCCATCTGATTATTTATGTACAAGCATCATTATCCAATCCTAATATTGTGCTTGAAAGATACAAACTTCTAAACTGTGTTAGTCTTTTTATCAGATCCTCATCAGACAGACAACTATGAACATACAATTGTAATAGAAGGAAATGCTAGGCAGCAACTGAATTTTTCTGACATTCCTGTTCAAAATGTATAATTCATAATGCATAGTTGATCATGAACCCTGGACAAAAGGGACCACTTTTAGGCTTTCTATGCTGTGGTGACTGCTCAGGAAATCTTGCAAGCTTATGTTTTGTCTCAAATTAAATCAGCTACAAGTGGCCACATTACTAGCAGCTACTAAAGCTATAATTCTTAGTTCAGGAAAAACCAAATCAATATAATAGTACATACGTGTTTGGTGTCTGGGAAAAATGGGATTCTTGTCTTCAATGGGAACTAAAACATCTCATGGAAAATTAATATCTGTGTTGTTAAAGGTTTCACAATTGCCTACTCAGATATCAATAATTCACAGAAGAGCCCACATAATGCAGAATGATAGAGTTTCTAAAAGCAATGAAATTACCATACTGTGAACAGAACAATGAGGTAGTCTATGAGAATAGTAATAAATTTGCCAGAGTATTTCTTTTTCACTTGAGTCCCAATATCAGTATCATTTACTTTAGAAAACTTAAGGAACAAGTCCTTTGTGAGATTAGGCCTTCTGAGGTGTTGGTTTTGCACAGAAAGCATAAATCCAGCCCCATTTTCTCTTTTCTTTCTACTCTACATTGTGGAGAGGATTTCTGGGGGTGGCCAGGAAACTTTATTTTTAAATTTCCCCCCCAACATGCAATCATGCTGATTCTGGCTACTGCTTTTTTTTTTTTCTTTCTCTTATTTTGATAGCAGAATGGGTGATCAGCAGCACTTGAAAAAGCCCTCTCAACTGGGTCTTTTACTGTGTATATTTGCATACAGATAAAATCTAGTGGTTGATAGAGGAAGCAGACTTATTACAGTATGTCCTTCCAGGTCTTATGATTTTATATATCAGGGTTTCTAGGGAAGAGAGAAAACCTTTTAATATTTATTTCTTTAGTTTTAGGTGAACACAGTATCTTTATTTCACATTTATATGGTGCTAAGGTGATAGATATTGAACTCAGAGCCTCACACATGCTAATCAAGTGCTCTACCACTGAGCTACATTCCCAGCCCTTCACAGATGTTGATACTGACAGCAAATATCAGTTTGTATTCAGATAGCAAGTACTTCAATATGCATTTTCATCTCTCCCCCACGGGAACTGAGTACCTTATTATTTAACATCAGTGGGTCTGGCATCAACATGACTGCTCCCACCTCAAATAGCCAAAATTGTCACTATATAGAGCAACCCCCTTGGTTAGCACCTTAGCCCATATTCTATAATAGTATTCCTGGGACTGGGTGATTTAAGAATGAAAGAGGTTTATTTTGCCTCATGGTTCTGAAGGGTGGGAAGATCTGCTCAGCTTCAATTAATGGAAGAAAGTGAAAGGACAAGTGGGTGCATGTGGAAGAGACAAACATAAGGGTTAACCCTGCTTCACAACAATTGGCCCTCACAGAAACTAATTCAGAGAAAGAAAACCCTTTACACTTTTGGACTTGCCATTCTTATATAGATAATTAGGGACAGCCCTTCGGAAAAGCAGTTATCAGCTTGCTATGGACCCTTGTTAAAACTGAACACCTGACCCATGGTGGCCTTGTGATTCTTCAGCCTGACAATACTATTTTAGTGTAGACTGATTGAGACTCAGTGACTAACAAAGTAAGAAGAAACCAAAAGGCCTCACTTATCAAAAGAATAATATATTCGAGGGGCTGGGGATGTGGCTCAAGTGGTAGCGCGCTCTCCTGGCATGTGCGGGGCACTGGGTTCGATCCTCAGCACCACATAAATATAAAATAAAAGATGTTGAGTCCACTGAAAACTGAAAAAGAAAAGAATAATATATTCGAGCTGGCCCAATCCCAGCAGCATCTTGGCTTTCCATGAAAATGGGACAACTACTCTGTTAAGGGAAATTTTATTTCCCACTTTGTCAACTAGTTTGTACTAGTTATAGGGCAAAATGGGGTCCTCAATTCAAAGAGGTTCCCCTAAATGTCTGGGCCTCATCCACTAATGGTTTGGCTGAGATGAAATCTGATGGTTTCTACTAGACTGTTCAATCTAAGAAGACCTGAGAATGGATGTGGGTGCTCCACTCAGCAGGTAGAACTCAAAGTCATTTTCCTAACTCTGCCCAATATTCCCTTTGATATTTATTGATTCTTGAGCTATTAACAGTGGTTCAGCTATTGGTCTCCCACTTGAAAGACCATAGACAGATTAGACAGTTAGGTATCATGGACTATAGAAACAAATTGCAGCTATGAATAGAATGGTCTGAGTCATCCATATAGATGCCCATGGTAAGCATCTACTCTGATGAAACTGACTGGAATCAAGCTGCTGATTGAGATCTCACTGCCTAGCTTACTGTCATTGACACTTGGAACCATCATCACATCAGATATGACAATGCATCCATTGTCAAAGACTGGGCATAAATTAGGAGACCCTGTATTTCTGATACAGAAGCTACCACTGTATGCCAATCTTGTGACTTCTACAACACTGTCCATTGTGATGGGGAACAACACATCACATGAGGTGTGGTCCCATTTGCTCCTGTTGAATTAACTACAATACACCTTAAGTCACCTCTAAGAGCTTTCACTGAGGCTATGCCACTGTTGACATTTCTTTGGGTTAAACAGTTGCTGTTTCAAACTGCTCAGATAATTGCAGCTGCACACTGTGGCTATTTTGGTTTTCTAGACTATTTATAGCCTGAAAATGTCACACCTTTTATTTAAAAGCCATGCAACTATGGGCTGATAGTCAAGGTATATGATTGACTTCCACACTCCCTGCTAACCACTGGCATCTGGTATTAAGTGTTGAAATGGCCTCTTCAAAAATCAACTCACATAGCTGGTGATGTAGCTAAGTGGTAGAGTGCTTGCGTAGCATGTGCAAGGCCCTTGATTCAGTCCCCAGTACCCACCAAATTAAGTAAATAAAATAAAATATGATAGAAATGAGTTTTAAAAAATGACTCAGAGAGTATTCCAACTCTGCCTCCCTCACTTCATCATTATCTTTTAGGCAGTTTGGTCAGTGAATATGGCTGACCCCAGAAGGGGATTATCTTCTTTCAACCATTACCTTGACAATGACAAGAGCAAAGAGCATTGAGGGTCATACAGATGTATTTTGAAAACTTGGGATTTTGTTTGGAATAATCTTTCTTTCCCCTAACAGCATCCCAGACTACAGTGGTTAGTAAACTCCGCAGTGGCATCCCAGTGAGAAAGGAGCTTAAGGAACTTAAATTTAATTCTGATCAGCCACCTGGATTCTCCAATTCCAAGGACATTGCTCTAGATAATAATTACCACTTGGTTCAGTACACCACTTGCTACGTACGTCCCCCTATAGTGACCAAATGGGCCAAGGTGCAGAACATAACAGATCTCTGTGAATTTATAAAAATGCCCTGTCTCTCTTGGACCTCATTCATTCAGATAAAAGGT